TAGATTGGACCACACACCCGCCTACAGTTTTGGGGGCAAGAATGATCCTAAAATAGAAAACAACACCCCGGCTCCAGGAGATTACCATCCGGAGAAGGTGAGGCTGGACCACAATCCAGCCTTCTCCTTTGCCGGACGTCTCGACCTTCACAAGCCCAGTGATACTCCTGCTCCAGGAGCCTACTCCCCCGAGAAGGTGCGTCAAGATCATAACCCAGCATTTTCGATGGCGGGCAAGCCGTTGGAAAAGCTGACTAATGGTACACCGGCTCCCGGAGACTACTGCCCGGAAAAAGTACGTTTAGACCATACTCCGGCCTACACTTTCGGTGGCAAAAGCGATCCGAAAGTGGAGAACAATACTCCTGCTCCTGGAGACTATCACCCCGAGAAAGTCAGGCAAGATCATAACCCAGCTTTCTCCTTTGCTGGTCGCCACGACCTTCGCAAGCCCAGTGACACTCCCGCCCCTGGTGCCTACTGTCCGGAGAAGGTCCGTCAGGATCATAATCCGGCCTTCTCCATGGCGGGTAAGCACACCCAAAAGATCGCCAACGATACTCCAGCTCCGGGCGATTACAGTCCGGAGAAGGTGCGTCTAGATCACACGCCTGCCTATACTTTTGGGGGCAAGAGCGATCCCAAGGTGGAGAGCACCACCCCAGCTCCTGGTGACTATCACCCCGAGAAAGTCAGGCAAGATCATAACCCAGCTTTCTCCTTTGCTGGCCGTCATGATCTTCAAAAGCCCAGCGACACTCCCGCTCCTGGAGCCTACTTTCCTGAAAAAGTCAGACAGGATCATAATCCTGCTTTTACAATGGCCGGCAAGCACGATTCCAGGGTTTCCCATGATACTCCTGCCCCTGGCGACTACAGTCCCGAGAAGGTTCGCCTAGATCACACGCCTTCCTTTACCTTTGCTGGTAAAAACAATCCCAAAACTGAAAACGATACCCCAGCTCCAGGTGACTATCATCCGGAGAAAGTTAGGCAAGACCACAACCCTGCCTTTTCCTTTGCCGGTCGCCACGATCTTCACAAGCCCAGCGACACCCCTGCTCCAGGAGCTTACTCGCCGGAGAAGGTGAGGCAGGATCATAATCCCGCCTTCTCAATGGCTGGCAAATACGTGGAGAAGATCACCAATGGCACGCCAGCTCCAGGTGACTATAGTCCCGAGAAGGTTCGCTTAGATCACACTCCAGCCTTTACCTTTGGGGGCAAGAATGACCCAAAGCTGGAGAACAACACACCGGCGCCAGGAGATTATCACCCTGAGAAGGTTAGACAAGATCATGTGCCCGCATTTTCCTTCGCCGGCCGCCATGATCTCCACAAGCCCAGTGAGACCCCTGCCCCCGGAGCTTACGCCCCCGAGAAAGTCAGGCAAGACCACAATCCCGCCTTCACGATGGCCGGCAAACATGACCCCAAGGTTACCAATGACACGCCAGCACCTGGGGACTACCACCCCGAGAAAGTGAGGCTGGATCACAATCCCGCCTTCTCCTTCGCCGGTCGCCATGACCTGCAGAGGCCCAGTGAAACGCCGGCGCCCGGAGACTACTTCCCGGAGAAGGTCAGGCAGGACTTCAACCCGGCGTTCACCTTCGCCGGCAAACACGATCCGAGATCGCTGAGCGAATCCCCCGCTCCCGGCGACTACAGCCCGGAGAAGGTGCGACTGGACCATGCACCCGCTTTCAGCTTTGGCGGCAAGCACGACCCCAAGGCGGAGCACCCTCATCCCGCGCCATGCGACTACGCCCCCGAGAAAGTTCGTCTCGACCATACACCCGCCTACACCATTGCAGGTCGTCCAGCCGCCGATCCCGTGCGCCAGACGCCGGCGCCCTGCGACTACCATCCGGAGCAGTGCCAGGTGCGTCAGGACAGCACACCAGCGTTCACCTTCGGCATGCGACTGGGCAGGGAGCGCATCTCCGATACACCAGGCAAGTAGCTTCCCCTGGAATCGATGAAGCTGAAGCATAATAGCGTTAGATCCCCAACTTCTGGACGACCATCGCTAACGAGCATCAGTACCATTGCAGCACCCTCCGCGTACGAGCCGGAAAAGCACTCACTGCACTCCACACCCGCCTACAGCTTCGGCACCAAGTCGGATATCCGCGTGACCACTGATGCTCCAGGTAAGTAGCGGGCTCCGACCGCGTTGCATGTTGCTGTTGTGTGTACCGCATGTCTCCCGCTTCCTTGTTTGTCTCCCCGTCCACCCACTTAGCCCCTGGTCACTATCATCCCGAGCAGTGCCAGCTGGCCAGCTCGCCGGCCTACAGCTTTGGCCTGAAGACAGTGCCCACTGCTTCGCTTCCAGGTAGGTGACACCCAGCTGCGCTTTTGGTGCCGGATTCCGCAGACTCCGTCCGGATCCATACGATCTGTTTTTGTTGTTGTGCCCATTTGTTCTTTGTTCCATGTTTGCTCGCACCCATTCCTCGGTTTTCTGGCCATGCTCTCATCTCTGTATATACCCACGAATCACCAGAACCCAGGGGCGCGTACATCGAAGATCGCATTGTGCAAAGACGCGAACGTCGTCTGGCCAGTCCCGGTAAGAATCCTCCAGATCACTCAATCATTGCCAGCGTTTTAAGTGCCAGTTTTGTATGTTACTTCGATGAAGTTTTACTAATGCGGATAAAGAAAACTGGTCTACTTGAATCGCTTTCCTCGTGTAAAGTAAAATGTGCTTTTGTGTACACATCCCGCTCCATTGTTGCATTTATTTGTTGTCAATTGATTTAAATTATGCCAAATCACAGTACGCAGCAACGCGGAGTGCACCACCACAACCACCAGCCACACCCACAACAATGCTGGTAACAGCAGCACCACAACCACCACCACCACCACCACCACAAAGACCTTCATAAACGGGGTGGAGCAGCCGGAGCTGCAGCAGAAGGAAACCACCAAGCAGGTGAATGGCACCCACCAGGAGCTTAGGTCCGCATCGCAAGCACCACTGAGCAATGGCAGTGTGCTTTCCAATGGCAACCACTCGAAGATGGTCAGCGCCACCACCAGGATTCAGGAAGTTGCCCACGCCCAAAAGCAGAGTGGCAACCTGAAGGTGGTGGCCAGCGGTAAGTCGGACACCAGTGCCACCAAGGCGGCGGCCGTGAGCCACCAGACCGTGGTGCAGCCGGATGGCGCCATTGTGGCCAGTGGCCAATCCTCGAGGATGCAGACGGTCAAGTACGCTGTGGAGGCGAGCAGCGTGCAGGAGAAGATTATCAGGTAACTGGGGTGACATGAAAGAGCGAAAGTTGCGAAGAGTGACGAAAACGAGTACGGAAACGAAGAAGATTTTGCATTACTCATACGCAACGTTGCATTTGCTCATAAATCTTATTTCAAGATACATTTTATTGTTTTGAATTAGTGCAAAAAACGTACTTAACTAGTTTGTTTGCAAAAGAAAAATATTTTTGTTTATTTAGCATAAGTCGTTTGAGTAAAATTTGAGTATACAGTATAATATGGAATACCCATTCACACTTTAGTTTTCATATTTTGTTTTAAAGAACTACAATATTATCGAGCTCTGCCGAATGCCAACTGATATTAGTACTCAATTTCTTTGGTGCCTGCGTTGCCGTTCCGTGTGTTTATTTGCAGGCACGTCATGTCCAGACCAAGATCACCCAATCCAACCCGAAACTAACCCGAACCATTCAAACACCAGCCCAAGAGTCAAGCCATTGAATTAGCCCCCGAACAACCAGTGAATTGACTGCCACAACTAACTATCACTTAACTATCCATCATTGACAGCTCCTAATGTCTACAAAATACCTACCGTCATGGGCAGCAGCAAGGAGGGCAAGATTCGCTCGGCTCCGGCGTACACCATTACGGGTCGCGAGAAGCCGCCGCTGATTCCGGTGATGATCTTCCCCGGACCCGGCTACTACGACGGCGAGTACACGGTGGTCAAGCCGAAGCCACCAGTCTTCTCCATGCGCGGCAAGTACAAGATGGGCAGCGAGGACTCCAAGCCCGGACCCGGAGCGCACTGTCCGGAGAAGGTGAGTCTGGGGAAGGCCACTTGCAGGCTTCTAAAACTAGCCCTCATCCCGCCATTAAGTCTTATTAGAACCTTAAGGTTCCATTAGATAGTTTTGAGGTACATTAGATAGTTCTGGAAATTCGGGACAAAGATACCATAGAAGGGTCATTACCCGTGGGCATCCCACTCACCCAATGCAAATGGATCTCACCTCAAACTGATCCCTCCCGCAGTACTGGGAGAAACGTTCGCCGCCGGCCATATCCTTCGGCATCCTGCACTCCCCGTATATCAAGAAACCATTGCCAGTCACAGTTCCGCAGCGATGTGTTCGCTCATTGCTGGAGAATCGGGCGGACAAGCCCTACGACAATATTTGAGAATGCATGTGCACTTTGCCATTAAATCCCTTTAGTGAACACAGTAATCAGTGGGTTTCTCTGCTCTCCCAATGCTCCTGCCCGCAGGTGAACCTCTCCCATGTGCCCGCCTACAGCTTTGGGATCAAGCACTCGCAGTACTTGGGCCGCCTGAACGAGAAGAACACCGAGTTCGACTACAGCTTCTCCGGAATCTGCTAGAGCTGAAGCTGGACAGCTACCAAATCCTCACTCTGCCCAAGACGGTCTTCGATGAACAGCTTCCTTACCTTAACTACTCTACCTTCGCTACTCGTATCGGACTAACCTTAAGTTTTAACTGTTTCTCAAACCTATTTGTAAGCCGAAAGTGTTGTGGAATGTTACAATTGTATACACTGATAAAGAGATATTACTAATAAGGTCACGATGTTTTCCTAAGGAGCTTGACATGGCCTTCGCCATTTAACCATTTCGGATAAGTGAGCATGTGAGCATTAGCTTTCTATGGAAAATTGCAATTTGCATGTGTGAAGCGGTGTTAATTATTGATGCTCCGCCAGCTGGGTGGACGTCCACTTAGTCTCCACCCGTCTGGTGATCCGTCATGAAGCTACTGCTGTTGTGGGCGATTGTTGCCATCAGTTGGCCGCTTATAGAGGGTGCCAGAAGAAGGAGTAAGATTCCGCCTGATTCCCGTTGTGTAGGGCACCCTTTGACTCAGTCACCGATCTTCTAGCGAGGAACAGTGCCTGTCTGGTAAGGAACAAGTATGCCCACGAAAGCTCCTGTAGGTCCCGGCGTCGGGTCTACTTCACCTTCCATCGAGTCCTCTTCGACTGCATAAAGGTAGAACCGGGAAACGAGCGTGAGCATGAGTTCTAAGACCTTTGACCATTTAAGGTGACCACAAACTGCCGGAAGCTCTACAGGAGGAACGAGTTCCACACTCTAGAGGCGTGCAGGGATGCATGTCACTACCACATGGCTATGCCAGTGCCGCCCAAGCCCGGAAATGGGACGTCTTCTGCCCCCGGAGCGGAGGGAGGAGTAACTGAAGCTGCACCAGCAGCAGATGCACCGCCACCTGCGATATAGATTCCTTTGGAACTTGCTTCAGATATGTGCAATGAGTTTTGCAGAAATTTTAATTCGGTATTTTCTGTGTATTTATTCTCTGTGTGCACCGCATTACCAGTTTTGATTACCCGCGTATCTACAACTACATGATTTGCAAGACTCATAATACAAACATAAGGCCACCGACCGGATTGCGCCCCTAGTTCTTGGTGATCTCGATTTCGGCATGGATGCAGGACTTGCCCTGGAGCAAAATACAACAAGGTGTGATCAAAATATGCGTCATATGGGGGAAGTAGACTCACAGTGTCATGCTTGACCTCCGAATCGATGATGAGGTGGCCGCGAGCCATGCCCAACATGGCCTTGTACTTGCTCAGATCCACGGCGTGATCGTTGGCGCACACCTTCTCCTCGGCCACTGGGCAGGAGGAAGGTGCTCCGAAGAGCTTCAGCATGTCCTTGCCCTCGGTGGAGGCCTGGTCGATGGCGGCGCACAGGTCGATCTTGCCCTCCTTCATCACGACGCCGTCCTTCTGCACCTTGAATTTGGCCACGGCGGTGCCGAAGGGCTTGTTGCTGATGCAGCCCGAGGGAACCAGCTCGCACTTCTTGTTCAGCTTCAGGCTGAAGTCACTGCCCACCGTCATAATGGCGTCCTCGCCAGCGCAGTTCTCCATCTTGACCAGCTTGGCCTTGTAGCCATTCTGGGCATAAGATAGCTTATAGATCGGCCTGCAGATGAGCTCCTGCCATACTTACGCAAGCCAGGGCTGCCTGGAAGCCCAGGCAACTGAGCAGGAACAAGCCAATCAGTCGCAGCATTCTGTCCACTGGAAGTTTGGATGAATTTGGAAACTCCTGGACGGCCCAACCGCTATTTATATGGAACTTTCGCTGGCCCCGTTTTCCCGAAATCCACAATTATTTGCGCATTAAGCGGTATTTGACTGCAACGATCAGCGATCGTTCGGCTCAATTGATTGCTGAAACTCCACTGGCCAGACGGTCATCCATTAGATCGCTCTAAATGTCGGAATTGCGAAACATTATGGCCGTCCAATTTTAATTACCCTCGCTGCATGATAATGTTTGTATTTCTAGCGTGTCGCTGGCTTTTGATCTCCCGATCTCCCGAAATGTGTTTGCATCCGAAACCATATAGATGTGGCTGAAGCCGAGCCATCAGGAGACCGTTAAAATCAGTTTTCTGTAATGGATAAGTGGTCATCACTCTTGTTATTTGTGTGCCATGTCACTGCTTTGTCGAGGAGAACTCTTGTGGCGCATTAAATGTCATGCAATTGATAAAAATGTAGCGGCACGGATGTTCGACAACAATTACATCATTTTTGTAGCAAAAGTGTAATTGGGCCCGCGATCAGTTGGGCAGTTTTGAAAGCGAACTCTTATCAGAAACGCCATAAGTTTTAGGGTCAAAACCTCTGCTGCCAGAGAACCTAACGATCTTTTTCTCCAACTCTGAGAAACCATCGATCCTTTCCGGTAGGATATGATGACCGTGGAGATAATCTAATCTAATTCGCTTATATGAGCAGCCCTAAATGATCCAAATAGTGGCAATTTCGTTTCGAAATGCAACTTTCTCCGTGTTCTTGGCCTTAAATGTGTTCTGCCATTATAATACGACCATATCTCATATCCACTTATTTACAAATGAAGCAGACAAACGACCTGCCAATTATTTATTAGGTATTTCATTAGAAATTATGGGTTCTTACCTTACAAGCTACAACTTCATTATTGCTGTTCTTCAAGGCTTAGAAGACTATTTATACTCAGTGGACTAATAAAATTAGATACGACAAGTTACGTATATTGTTATGTAATTTTTGCGAGTTAGTTTCATTATACAATGCCATGCTTTCCAATTACTAAGGATTCAATACAATTAATACGGAAGCATATTTCGTATCTGATGTTTACGGAACAAAAACACCCTGTTCCTAAAAAGTAACGAAAATATGATTTGTTTTCTCTTATTCTTCGGACGTTTCCATGGCAGCTATATGATATTATTTATCAATGCTGATCACTCTAAAACTGAAATTCTATACTGTCCAAAAACTGATGTGTGCACCGAATTGGAACGCTCTTTGACAAAAAACTATAGCATTTCTATATTACTACTATTTGAAATAGTAGTCCCATCCGGCAAGTATCAATTTTCATACAACCTACAGTGAAAGAAGCCTTTGGAAAGAAAGCTTTCAAGCTGACGGACGTACAGACGGACCTGGCTATATCGACTCGGTTGTTAATCTAAACAATATACCTCCTTCAAGGGTACAAGCATGTTCGACTAATGTCTAAACAAAATAGTAATTGTCTAAGCAAAGTAATTGTAAAAGATTGTCAAACGAATTCCAATTGAATTGCTTTAATTGTATATCGCGAAGGCGAGTCCAATTTTATTATTATGCAGGCTATATATAATCCGAACCTTGTTCTTACCTCCAAACGTGAAAATGAAGTATTTGTGTAAGTGAACTAAATAATAAGCGAATTGAGCAAATCCCAATAAGTAATATTTGCACCGCAGGTCTGCTTCTTTTGGCCACGTCGGTGACCTGTCGCTTTACCGACGATTTCTACCAACTTTTGGCCAAGAAATATGCAAACGAGAATATCATTTCCTCTCCCCTTTCGCTCGAAATCGCACTGAGCATGATCTACATGGGAGCCGGGGCAAAGACAGCCCAACAATTAACTAATGTTTTGGGACTGCCCGATAACAGGGAGGAGGTGGCAGCCAAAACCAAGGATCTTCTGACTGAACTCGAAGGTCGTGAGAAAGTAGCCATTCTTACTCTGGCGAACCGCATATACGTGAACAATAAGATAAAGCTATTACCGCAGTACAATCAGGTGGTCAAGGATTCCTTTAAAGCTGAAGCGGTGGCAATCGACATGACCGATACCAAAAAAGCGGCTTCAATTATAAATAAGTGGGTAGATGATCAAACGCGTGGTAAAATCACAAAGATAGTTGATTCCAATGCCTTGGTTGATGTGTTAATCGTCGTCTTAAACGCAATTTACTTTAAAGGCCAGTGGCAGAACCAATTTGATCCAAGCAAGACGAAGAAGGTCAGTTTCCACATTTCGAAACAAAAGAGTGTTCCTGTTGAGATGATGGCACAACTTGGAATATATCGAACAGCATATATTGGGGCATTAGGTGCACGCGTTATCGAGCTGCCATACAGAAATTCAAGCCTCTCCATGGTCATTTATCTACCGGATAAGGTCGATGGTCTACCAGAGTTGGAAAAAGAGATCGTTGGATTCCCTCTGAAACTTTCCGAAGATAAAGTGAATTTAAAGCTACCCAAGTTCAAAATGGAGTTCTCCAAACTTCTAAACGAAGAACTTAATACGGTGGGTATTTACAGATTATTTGGTACAGTTGCTGCACCCTAATAATTTATGGATTTGACTTACAGATGGGCATTCGAGATGCGTTCACACTTAATGCTAACTTCGAAGATATGGTAGGGGGCGGCGTTTTTGTGAAGTCCGTCCTTCAAAAGGCGTTCATTGAGGTTAATGAAGAAGGTGCCGAAGCAGCGGCTATAACAAAAATAGATATGGTGTTCAAGAGCGCTTCTAGGCCGCAGCCTATAGATTTTATTGCCGATCATCCTTTTGCCTTTGTCATTCGCGATAAGAAAAACATTTATTTTCAGGGTCACTTCGTGAATCCGGAATAAAATGCATTTTACTTTTGCATTTTACTTTCAAAAATAAAGGAAATATGTATTTTAAGCACTGCGATCTAAAACGAAAACCGTTAGGAAATTTAGTACCCCAAGCGAAAAGCTCTGGCATCACTGACAGCTCTGGCTCACGCCGTCTGGCCAAATGGCACTGTTTTCCAGCGGTCTGGCACTACCGCGAACAGCGTGACTCCGTTCAATTTTTAGCTCGTTATTTTAGTTCACGTTAACTTCTCGAGCTGTTCGGACGTCAGTGCGGAACAAAATACCGCGGGCTCTCCACTTGTGTTCTGCGGCTAACTGTTCAAACTTTGCCGACGACGCAGTATATACTGTATTTTAAAAGCAACCGATTCTGAAGTGCCCCACGCAGCAAGTGTTAAACACAAAAACCACAACGTAAGCGGTAATTTTTGGAAGGCTCGAAGATACGATAATATAGTAAATCGAAGCAAAATCGTGCCGTATATAAGTGAAGCATCAAAAGGTGCTAAGCAAATGAATCCGCACTCGAAAGTTTAGATATCGATGTGAGCGCACCCACACCTTCGCAAAAGTAAATAACAAACACAGATACGAATCGGAATTCGAATACAAATGCAAACTCGGCCACAGGTGGTTGGTTGACAAGAGTTCTGTTCTGAGTGATATTCAATTGTAAGCCCGAAAATCGAATTCGATGCCAGTGCTGTTCAATTCAATGCAATGCAATTGAAAAACACCAAATAGTCACTATGATCCATTATCAGTGACCTTTTTCAAAGCGCGCGTGTGTGTGTTTGAGTGGTATTATCACTGCCTGGCATTATTCATTGATAAGTGTTGGGTGTACGAAAAGTGTGTCTGTGTCTATGGTGAATACGTCAGCGGCATTCCAAGTAATCGAGGCTGCAAACTCCGGTGCCAGGTATTCAAAATCGTGATTCATCGCCGATCGTGACTGTAATCGTTGTATCTACAAGAGTTGTTTTTGTTGCCAAGCTGAGGCGGTAGAACGGTAGACTGCGTAAGACTATGAGTATGGGTAATCCTACGGTTTCTACGATTCTCGATCTTAGGCATTCAGCTCAGTTCTTCCAGAAACTCCCAAATTAAGTTCGCTTATATGTATGAACGTGTGTGGGTATAAAAATGAAGGGTTCGCCTTTCTTTTGTTTGCCTGGTCCACTGAATGTGTCTATAGCGACTTTCTTAAACCGGTTCCAGTCCATCCGTTTCTTGACCAAACACACTGTTCATACATTTCCCCTAAATGTGACTCAGGATCCAGAAGTTCCGATCGAATCAGAGGCCCATAATTCATTGCCTCCAATTGCACACTGTGCCCAATTTGTTTATTGAAAACAGACCTCCAGTTCGCCGTCTGCTCCATTTATCTCTGACCACTTCAAAAAGCTGCCCGTTCTCAATCACTTTTCCGGGCAGCAGTGGAAAATGGTGGCAGGCAGCCAGGAATCGTCGGAGTTTCGAGTCATAAAAATGTCCGCGAAAGGTGTGGATGAAATATTTACTGGAATCCCCTGCCCAATTCGCAATTCGCGATTCGCCAGGCATTAAACATTGAACCACTGTTGTGATAAGCCAGAATAATCAATGGATACTAGGGGTTCCTGGAAAATGCGCTCCGCCTGCTTGCAGCTCTTTTTCACACCTTCCCATTATGCACATGGCTCATTAATCAGATGGGGCTTATGGCCGGCCAAGTATCCACCAGATACGCACACCCTCCCCCTCAGTAGGTGTCAAGTTAGAGATACTTTACTGTAGTTGATTATGCTGAAGTAGAGAGCTCCATTACGAATAAATTACTTTGCCTGCACCGAGGAAAATGGCAATAGTACTTCTTTCACATGTATAGAAACTAATTTAAAACACACACAAAATATTAGGTACATAAAAAGCAATACTCGCTGAAAATAGACTTAAAAGTAATCGAAGAATATGTGTGACAACGAATGTGTATATTTAAGCGACTGTAAAATCCCTGGAGATATTTGGAAAGCTGATATGTATTAATGCACCAGACCTCTTTTTAATCTCAAGAGGTTTGGAAATGCACAGAAGACTTCCTCTTCTAGATAAAAGCACTGTCTTGAACTTAGTTTGGGTGGATGTTATACAACTGCAAAGTGACTTGTTTCCAAACAGAAATACCATTCTCCGCTTTTCTCACTACTTCGGATCAGCTGAAGCAGTCTTAGGAAAAGCGCTACATAAGCCCCCTAACTTTGGGCGAACGGGCTCATAAATTTCCATTTAAGATAATATCTGTTTAATTGAATTTGCCGGTTGCCAATAGCCATAAATAAAACCGATTCGGTGGACAATCTCCACCAGCCTCTACCAACATATAACAGGTTTTCACACCGCTCTGTGTGGTTGGCTTGGCATTCTATGAATGGACACCTTCGCCTCCTTACATCCGCTGTGGTCTGAGTCAGAACGTAAATAATAAATTATAAATGGACAGCGGACAACAAATGTTTTGGCGCGTCCATTGGAGCTGTCTGCGTGGAGAGGTGGCAATAACCTGGACATAAATCTGCAAAAAAGGCTAAGCTTTCACCTGGGCCCTAGACTATTCATTGGAAAACTTTGTCCGCCCCATAAAGTATCTAGTCAAGTGCACTTCGGCGAATCAGGGAAATAGGACAAATTTACTCGTATGTGTAACTGCAATCTTGTTTCCTCCGGGAATAAAACAAAATGAAGGCAGTCAGGCACACAAGAAATGCATTGAGTAAACAAATCGAAGAAAATTGAGCCATCTTTTGAGGTCACGGCGAGGCACGAAATGGGCTATATACATTGGGCATATTTATTTATTAATCGGGCGAAACCCAAAACAAACAAATTAAACACTTGTCGGCTATTAAGTGAACGCATATAACGTTTCTATTTATTTGCCAGCAGCTGGCCAACAACTTGTTGTCGCCACGCGTTGTAGTTGTATAATATCTGGCAGAATGCCAGCGATTCAATTTCACTGGCAACGCTCTTTCTATTATTTTTATTAAATTCCCAGTTTATGGAAAACAAAAGAAATAACTTTTCCCAATCTCTCGCGCGAGTGAGGGTTACGCAACTAAAAAAGTTTCCCAAATGACTCATCTAAAAGATACATTACCTGCTCCGGTAATTTCACTTTTATGACATTTGACTTTCTTTGCGCGTTATGCAAAAACACATTTAAATATTTTCGCCGCTTCTGCGCAACTATTACTTAACGACCAAACCATATCTATTTCTAGCCCTTATCGCAGCAGATTGGCTGTAAAGATAGACCGTTGCGAAACCACGTTGAGAATTCGGTATCTGCCAGATAGTTTATCTTGTGAGCGCCCGCAGTTTAGCAACGGTTTCTTGGATCTGGCAACTTTATCTTGCAGCTTCTCGGGGACTGGCGGCCGATTTCCGTAAACCATTATTCTGCGTTTCCAGTTGCCAATCCATCAAGGCGTCACTTTTGTTTCTTTCTCAGCTGGTGTTGTTTATGCATTTATCTTGCAGATACCGCTGCCGGCTGCTATCGCTTCAAAATGCATTAGATCTGCGCACAGAAGCCCGTATTTCTATTCCCAGCTGGGAGTGTGGAATGCCAAATGGGCGGGGGCGTGGTCATGGGCGTAGTTGGGGGGCGTGGCCGACGCCAGTGGAGCCAACACAGAAATTGCGAAACTCGCTCTTGTTTGTGGGCGGAATTCACAGCGGGCGCTGCACTTGCCCAAAAAATGTCAATTGGAACGGGACCATATATCAATTAATTAGAGTACGACAAGAGACATTAAACCAGATGCTCCCGCTGATAGCTCACCCACAAGAAAAGTGACCTCAATCTTAGGGTGGTAAACCGTCTGCTCAATTAATCAAGTCGAGATCTATTAATTCTCCCGTCTTTGGACTTATAACCTTGGAATTGTCAAAAGCGTTTACTCGCTTAATATTATTAGCCTTAGCTTTTATTAAAGTAGTTTATGTGCCGAAAAATATTTGGACCCATATCTAAATTTTTACAGCACACTAGGAATGTCATATTGCTAATCTGTTCAGCAGCCATTTTTGTTTATTTTTTGTTGCCAATTTTAATTAATATGTCACAACTCACAAACATTTCTATTTTTTCTGATTACGAGAATAAGTTCATGATAAATTATTGTCACCCCAAAAAAACATTGTTCAAAGTTCTCTGGCATTTTTGAAGATATATTATATTTTGGGTTGCCAAGGCAATTACATTATCTTTTCGCATTTTAAGCGAATAAAATGCTTATCCCTATGACATCCTTGGGTTCATTAGCGTTTCTGGTTAGCTCACGCCTACTTACGGACATTTGTTGTCCTGACGAAAGCCTATTGGTTAATGGAATTAGCTGGCATTCCCCGCCAGGAACATAACCATGTCAGCACCATCATAGCCTCCGTCATTTAGAGACACGCAAACTGGGCAAAGTAGCGTCATTATGCAGAACGATTGGAATGGGTTCGGGCCGAAAAACGAGAGTTGGCCAAAAGGCCCACACGCGGTTTTTTGGCCTGGGTGGGCAGATTGGGCCCAGATCGCTTGATACCGTTGCTAACCGATTGACAAATAGTTTGATTTACGAGTCAGCAAATCTCAGCTTGGCCCAAATAGCAAATTTCAATTTGGCAGCGTGGCGCTTTTTGATTTTTAATGAAGTAAACTCAAGCCCACACCCCTTTTGCGCTTCCAGGCAGTGCAGATGGATAAAAATATTTTCCGATACAAGTATTTTTCGTTTTCCTCCGGGTTGAATGCTCATTATTTTGGCCAGGAGCCAGCGGCATGTTTGCAATTGCAATCACAGAATTCGTGTACGGCCCAACTTTCCATTAAGATGTGGGGCGCGAAATTTCAATTGTAATGCAAAGCAAGCGAAAACACTTGACTTTTGCACAAACACAAAAGCACGCAACGCCAAAGGTCAACGGGAAAATCAAATAAAAGCACGGGAAAACTCAGGCGAAAGAGTCGTAAATTTCCCTGGGACGTAGGCAAAAAAAAACAAA